ATATATATATATATATATATATATATATAATGTAAAGAAAACTTAGCATAATGTTAGTATGTGAATATACCAAAAAATATATAATTAAATGTAGCAATTCATCTAGCCATCACACTACTTGCATATAGTGGTCAATCTGTTAAAGGGCATCTAGCTATCCTTGAGGTAGATGAACTGCTAAGATCATATATATTTAATTATAATATACGGATAATATATCACTATATGTTTATACATCTTTATTTTTAATGTTATATTATGTATTTAAAATAAGTATATTTATATGAGCGTAGCAGTTCATTTATTTCAAGGATAGTTAGCAAGGATATGTATAAATATATAATGTTATATTAGATATATGATATGATAAAGTATAATATCTTTGTGGGCGGCAGTTCATCTAACCACCTGCATCTCCGTCTACAAGGGCAAATGCGTGTAACTGCGTCTAGCTATCCTCAAGACTCATATGTATATCCATATTTTTCAGTTCACTTCTTTCTACTGCCAGTCTCTTTTTTAGTCCACTCATCTTTTTATCAATCCGAAACTCCAAATTGATAGATTTGGATCGATCTTTTGATCTCCAGTGTCTGCTGTCCTGTTTTTGTCTTCCTTTATGTCGGCCTATCTGCCAACATGCAAGCAGGTTTCTATGCGTACAATCGTGTTTGTCTGTGTTCACGAATGTATACGCCCGTTTCATCAAAAGGCTCCGGGAACAGTGCAGACCTTTGGTTCTATTCACATTAATCACCAGCCCGAACGCCGCTTTTGCATTAGCCTCCGTCAGGCTGGCTCTGCGCGAGGTAAACGTTTCACCAAAAGTTTTGGTGCATAGCGCCGTGACTGCCGAAGCAAATCAAGGCCTCTCTTTAAGTTATCGCGGAAAGCACTACTCTCCGTCAAGCTAACAGCATACCAAAAGGCCGACTCTTGACGACGTTCTGAAGGGTTTCGGTGACTGGGCGAACCCGGAGGCGCAAACACAGAGGTACCAAGACCAGAAGGCTTTAAAAGGCTTTGGAGGACTTTGAGAAGCTCTCAAGGGATTCGGAAGACTTTGGGATGCTGCTGAAGGATTTTATTTGGAAGACTTCAAGAGATTTTGAAAGGCTTGGGAAACTTTGCACGGCTTTGGTAGTATTTATAGGCTTTGGAAGGCCTTGAAAGAATTTGGGACGCTTTTAAATGCTCTGGAAGGCTGTAGAAGACTTTGAGAGGCTTTGATATGCTTGAAATACTTTTGACATAGTTTTTAGGCCCTTGGATGGCTTTGGAAATAGTTTCTAGGCTTTGGAAGGATCGGAAGATGATGGAAGGCATCGGAAGAGTTTGAATGACGTTGAAGGTCATGGGATACTTTAAACAGCTTTGGAA